TAGTGCAGATGCTTATAACGAGCAGCCGAGTAGCAGTAGTGAGATTTTAAATTAATGTAATTTATGGACGGGGAAATATAGAAAAATAATCCCAACGCTGCTCAGCCAAATTATAACGATACACCATCACTACAGACTAGCTCACCAAAATATAGAGTGAGTATGGTTACTGAACCAACTGTATTTGTAAAGGTTAGGAACTGGAAACCACTGGAACTGAGAGACTTAAAATGATTCTTCAAAAGAGTTCCGCTGCCACCATATTAATAATAAACAGGCTGAGGTATTATTGAGAGGTTGTTCAGTAACATACTCTGTGTCACTATAGTTTTCTTAAAGGCTGTTAAAAGCTGACTTGAATAACCTTTGACTACAAAGGTATTCACACCGAGGCTGGTATAAATTGATAAAAATAACAAGAACGTTTATTGAACAGGCTTGAATAATTCAGGTACAAATGCTTAATGGTTTCAGTAAAATACTGGCATAAAAAGCTTGTGGTTGCCTGAGAGTAAAGATCTTAAAACTTCTGGGTTACAATCTTCACAGTTACAACACAGAAAATTACTTCAGGAAATGAATCTCTGAAAGTAACTCCCAAAAATCCCCCTTAGGAATCTAGCCAAAAACCCTGAACTAGACTTCCTTAGGAAACGAACAGACCACTAACGGAGTGCTGTTCCACACAGTATTCTAGCTATATTCTCAATAGCTATTCTGAATACTACACAAACGACAAACTGCTCTCGCTAACACCCACATGTCTTCTCTCTACCCTTTCCAACCTCCAACTGGCAAACTGGGACCTCAAACCTCAGTTTAAAAGCCACTTTTTTCCTTTCGATCACGTAGGCTCCGTCCCCATCTTTCTAACCAATCCTAGCCTTCTGATTTTCCCTCTTAGACTTGAACACGCCTTGAGTCCTTCCTCTCCAACACTTCGATGGTAGAAATGGGGTAGAGACACAATTCAGTACCCCTCATGCAGCATTAATTGCATGAGGCAGAACACTTAATATACAGGGTTAGTCAAAATGAATAGGCCAATAAGAAAATTAATTTTAGACGAATGTATGTTTACTGTAACCAAACCACAGCTACGTAGCGACAGATAAACTATCAAAGTTTTTTTTGAGCAACACACATGTACGTTAATGCCGCTAGGCGTCGCTAGGGGTCGCTGTTTTCAAAATGGCGGAATCAAGCAAAGAGAAGGCGTTTTGTGTGATGACATTTGCTAAAACAATGTCAGTAATTACGGTCCAGCGAGAATTTCAAGGGTTAGGGTTAGGGTTAGGGTTAGGGTTAGGGTTAGGACCTCAACGAACACCTTCCCAGACGTTGCTGCATTCGATGCCATTACGTCGGATGTGCTGCAACGGATGTGGAATGAACTGGACTATCGCTTGGACATCTGCCGTGTCACACGGGGCGCCCATATCGAACATCTCTGAAGGTGAGACAAAACTTTGATAGTTTATCTGTCGCTACGTAGCTGTAGTTTGGTTACAATAAACATACATTCGTCTAAAATTAATTTTCTTATTGGCCTATTCATTTTGACTAACCCTGTATAACCATAACTATAACTGTACAATTTTGTTTGTGTATTTGAAATAATGTAGATGATAAGTAGATGAAGAATAACAGTAAGGTCATCTTTAATTTATTCTCTGGATATAGAGAAATTTGTTTTATTTATTTCTCTCTTTAATGAGAAAAAAGGCTAATTAAATCTTGAATTTGTCCTCCTGTTCGACATTAAACATATTCCATTTATTACACTGGAATTATCCCAGGCAGATTTGTTTATGAAGGTACTTAGCCGTCTTTGGACATTTTAGATTTTCACTTACAAATAATCCTTGAAATTGCAAAGATTATTACGAAAGCTCTTCATTGCTTGCTCTCATTGCGTTAGGGATTACTTCTTTCTTTGTGGGGTCCAGCAAGAACAAAATGGATTTTGTTTATCATTTCTCATTTCCTTTATTATTCCTTGGGTGATGGGGTGAAATTTTCTCCGCCAAGGATAATGAGGGTGAGATGGGAATTTTTCTTCAAATGGATTTGTGAGAATATACACAATAAATAACATATATTGTGCTTATTGTCTCAATAGAGTTGTTTATTTTATTTATTGTGTTAGGAGCGAACCAAAACAGTTGTATTGCAATAGAGTTGATTTGTTATTATCTTTGACACATAGTTTTTTATTTGGATTAAAAAGTTTGACATTGACTGTAGGGTGCACATGCTGAAATAATTGTTTGGAATCATACCTTCATGTGTATATATGTCAACCAAGTCCACAATCCACTGTGTTGAACAAAACACATTCAAGTACAGGCAGTCTCCCAAGTTATGAACAAGACAGGTTCTAAAGGTTTGTTCTTAAGTTGAATTTGTTTGTAAATCAGAACAGATACATTTTTAAGTGTAACTCCAGCCATAAGTGAAAATATGTATGTGACTGGGGTGTCGACTTACATAGAAAAGCTCATGTGCCAACAAACAGCTATAGCTCCCACTACTCAGGAGACACCAATGGCCCTCCCTCCAATGAAATTGCAGGTTAAGTGAGCACCATGAAAATGTACAAGAGCCCTCCCAAACACCATACTGTCCACCACCACAGTGAAGGCCTTCATATGAGAACAATTTCACCCTAGATTTTCTGTTTTTCCTCCACCACAGACATCCCAGTGTTTCTGGCTCTCTCCATTGGTATAGATTCTGCCCACTGCCCCTCTCTTAAACCTTTCTGATTGTTTTCTATGGCACACAACAAAGAGACTTAAAATGGTTCTTCAAAAGATTTCCGCTGCCACCATATTAATAATAAACAGGCTGAGATATTATTGAGAGGTTGTTCAGCAAGTGAACATACTACAGAGGTTTGGGGAGAATTCACCATGATTTATAGGAGTTGTAGGTATTCCTACAGGCAGTCCCCATGATAACTCTTCCAGGAGTGAATTTCCCATCTGAGGGGTATATTTATCTCACTTCTTGTTATCTCACCTCCATTCTTAACTATGAGTCATATGTAAATTGGATGTTTATAACCCGGGGACTGCTTCTATATTGAAATTACTTAGACAGCATAGATCTAAGAATTAACAAGTTAATGATTTGTGGATTCTGAGAGCTGTGATCCTTAAAAAGAACATGTTCATGGTCTGAGTATACTTTCCACCTTTGTCATTCAGGCAACCACAAAGGAAAGCTTTCTATCAAGGTATTGTCGAAGGCTTTCATGGCCAAAATCACTGGGTTGTTGTAGGTTTTTTCGGGCTATATGGCCATGTTCTAGAGGCATTCTCTCCTGACGTTTTGCCTGCATCTATGGCAAGCATCCTCAGAGGTAGTGAGGTCTGTTGGAACTAGGAAAATTGGTTTATATATCTGTGGAATGACCAGGGTCAGACAAAGAACTCTTGTCTGTTGGAGCTAGGTGTGAATATTTCAGCTGACCACCTTGATTAGCATTTGATGGCCTGGCAGTTTTTTTGGTGTGGCTTGTTAGTGCCTGGGGCAATCTTTTGTTGAGAGGTGATTAGCCTGATTGTTTCCTCTCTGTTGTAATTCTTGCCATACATTGCCATTCCCTATGACCCATAGGGAAGCTGATGAGGAAACACAACATACAAACTATCTACAGACCTCACTAACTCTGAGGATGCTTGCCATAGATGCAGGCGAAACATCAGGAGAGAATGCCTCTAGAATATGGCCATATAGCCCCCCCCCCAAAAAAACCCCTACAACAACCCAGTATCTACAGACCCACCAAGAAAATCCAACAAATGCTACGTTCAGCAAAGGACAAGAGGGATCCTCTCACTTCTGCAGGAGTCTACCGTATACCATGCAGCTGTGGACAAGTCTACATAGGGACCACCAAACGCAGCATTGCCCAAACACGAATCAAGGAACATGAAAGGCACTGCAGACTACTTCAACCAGAGAAGTCAGCCATAACAGAGCACCTGATGAACCAACTGGACACAGCATATTATTTGAGAACACAGAAATGCTGGACCACACCAACAACCACCATGTCAGACTACACAGAGAAGCCATTGAAATCCACAAGCATGTGGACAATTTCAACAGAAAGGAGGAAACCATGAAAATGAACAAAATCTGGCTACCAGTATTAAAAAAACTCTAAAATTACAACAGCAAAACAACAGAGAGGAAACAATCAGGGACATCTAATCACCTCTCAACAAAAGATTCCCCCAGGCACTAACAAACTACACCAAAAAACTGCCAGGCCATCAAATGCTAATCAAGGTGGTCAGTTGAAACATTCACACCTACCTCCAACAGACAAGTGTTCTTTGTCCCACCCTGGTCATTCCACAGCTATATAAACCCAATTTTCTTAGTTCCAACAGACCTCACTACCTCTGAGGGTGCTTGCCATAGATGCAGAAGAAACGTCAGGAGAAATGCCTCTAGAACATGGCCATATAGCCCGAAAAAACCTACAACAACCCACTTTCTATCAAGCTTTGTCCTTGTAGGTTCAATCCATCTGTCCCCTACTGAACATACCAAACACACTCATTTGATTGCGTACTTCTGAGCTTCTGCAGCTTTCTAAGATGACATTACTTTTACCAGAGCTACTCATCTCTCTACCCAATTCTCCACTGGCATGTCAAATGGATTGTAATGAAATGCCCATCAGCAGAACGACAGGCTACATCTGGTATGATTGGCTTCAGCAGTGCAGTTAGATGAGAAATTACATGCTGGTTTCAGCACCTTTTACCCTTCCAACTACCAAGTGCATTTAGTATTAAAACTACTTGTCACTTCAGGACAGAAGGGGTGTGGATGAGTGACTTGGGGGACAGAACTCCTGCTGCAGTTGTGTTTAGTGATTAAATGACCAGAGGCAATATGAGTATGATGAATGTTTGTCCTTTCATCTCTTCCACTATATCACTTACCTGACCTGCAGTATATTCCGCTTTCTCTTTCAGATACTATGCAGCAGGTAGCCAAGACGGTGGCAAAAGTGGAGCTGTCAGACCATGTTTGTGATGTGGTGTTTGCTCTCTTTGACTGTGATGGTGAGTACTGTCAGTGTTCATGTTGTAGAGCCGTGCTGAGTGTGATTTGGACCGGAGAGAGCTGTGTTTAGTTCTTGCATCTATAATGTTCGCTGAATAACTTCTGGGCAATATCTGTTTCTCAGTCTAGTCCAAGGGTCCTCAAACTATGGCCCGGGGGCCGAATACGGCCCTCCGAGGTCATTTACCCGGCCCTCGCTCAGGGTCAACCTAAGTCTGAAATGACTTGAAAGCACACAACAACAACAACAACAACAACAACAATCCTATCTCATCAGTCAAAAGCAGGCCCACACTTCCCATTGAAATGCTAATAAGCTAAAATTGTTCTTCATTTTAATTATTGTATTGTTTTTAAGTGTTTTTTTGCACTACAAATAAGATATGTGCCGTGTGCATTGGAATTCATTCATGTCTTTTTCAAATTATAATCCGGCCCTCCAACAGTTTGGGGGACTGTGACCTGGCCCTCTGTTTAAAAAGTTTGAGGACCCCTAGTCTAGTCTGTTGTTCAAGGTGGCCTCATGAAGATTACAATGAGCAGAAAAGGACCTTGTGTGGTATAGACCTCCCTAGAGAAAAATCATGATACTAATGTCATTAAGTATAATAGGTTGTATCAGATCCACAGCTGTACTGTAATTACCTGTTCAGCCTTCCCTTCCCATTTGCTGCAGGGGATTGAAATACCCTTCAGAGGTCTTCCAACAGTTGCTTCCATAATATTGAAATTTATTTATTTACTTACTTACTGTACCCACCACGTGTTGCTGTGGGCAACCTTCCCTCCCTCTTTCTCTCCTTCTTTCTTTTCCTCCTTTCTTCCTTCCTTCTTTCCTTCCTTCCCTTTTTTCTTTCCTTCTCTCTTTCCTTCCTTCCTTCTCTTCCTCTTCCCTTCCTCCCCCCTTTTCTTTCTCTTCCTCTTTCTCCCCTTTCTTCCTTCTCTACCTATTCTTGGATTGCAACTCCCAGCAGTCCTCCTGATCGATTTATCTATTTACCTACCTTTCTATCTCTATCTAATCTTATCTATCTGGAGGACTGCTGGGAGTTGCAGTCCAGGAATAGGAAATTGGAAATATTCAGGGATTGGGATGCTCTCAAAGAAATCCAAGGAGAAGAAAACTTGCAGCTTGGATCATCCTTCTCTCCTAAAGGGCCTGGTCTAAGGGATGCTGGGAGCTGTAATCCAGAAGAGAGTGTGGATATGCTATTGTGTATGTTGTTTGCCAGGGGAGTTGTTTTTACGTATGAATTGTAGCGTCTTTTTGCTTTTTTGGCTTTTTAAGTCCCTTCCGCTGTGTTTTTCAGTGTTTTTATGAGTGACTAGTCGAACCTCCATTGAAGTAAGGGGGTTTATTTATTTGTCGTATCAGGGCAACCAGTCAATTATATTACATTTCTAACAGAACAAAGCAAACAAACAGAGCAAAATACAAAATTTGTGAGTTTGGTAGTTGATTAAATGTCCTTTGACCAGTATCTGGCCACTTGGAGTGCCTCTGGTGTTGCTGCAAGAAGGTCCTCCATTGTGCATGTGGCAGGGCTCAGGGTGCATTGCAGCAGGTGGTCAGTGGTTTGCTCTTCTCCACACTCACATGTCGTGGATTCCACTTTGTAGGCCCATTTCTTGAGGTTGGCTCTGCATCTTGTGGTGCCAGTGCTCAGTCTGTTCAGCGCCTTCCAAGTTGCCCAGTTTTCTGTGTGCCAAGGGGGGGAGTCTCTCATTTGGTATCAGCCATTGGTTGAGGTTCTGGGTTTGAGCCTGCCACTTTTGGACTCTCGCTTGCCTGGGTAGTCCAGCGAGTGTCTCTGTAGATCTTAGAAAACTATTTGATTTAAGTCGTTGACGTGCTGGCTGATACCCAAACAGGGGATGAGCTGGAGATGTCTCTGCCTTGGTCCTTTCACTATTGGCTGCTACTTCCCGGCGGATGTCAGGTGGTGCAATACCAGCTAAGCAGTGTAATTTCTCCAGTGGTGTAGGGCACAGACACCTGGTGATAATGCAGCATGTTTCATTAAGAGCCACATCCACTGTTTTAGTGTGGTGAGATGTGTTCCACACTGGGCATGCGTACTCAGCAGCAGAGTAGCATAGCGCAAGGGCAGATGTCTTCACTGTGTCTGGCTGTGATCCCCAGGTTGTGCCAGTCAGCTTTCGTATGATATTGTTTCTAGCACCCACTTTTTGCTTGATGTTCAGGCAGTGCTTCTTGTAGGTAAGAGCACGGATCCAGAGTGACTCCCAGGTATTTGGGTGCGCTGCAATGCTCCAGTGGGATTCCTTCCCAGGTAATCCTCAGAGCTCGGGATGCTTGTCTGTTCTTAAGGTGAAAGGCACATGTCTGTGTTTTAGATGGGTTGGGGATCAGCTGGTTTTCCCTGTAATAGGCAGTAAGAGCACCTAGAGCTTCGGAGAGCTTCTGTTCTACCATCTCAAAGCTCCCTGCTTGAGCGGTGATGGCACGATCATCAGCATAGATGATATTTATTTATTTATTTATTTATTTATTTATTTATTTAGCGATTTTGTATACCAGTCTTTTCCCCTCTATCGGGGTACTCGGGCCAGTTTCCAACAATAATATCACAAAACAATAATTAAAAACGTCATATAACATATTCAATTAAAACATTAAAACAGCAAAATGCAATCACATAATAACAATGGTCAGTCATCATAGTGAATTCGTTGTCCGTCATTCATCGTCATCCATCCAATCACAGAAATATTGATTCACTCGTCGAAAGCCAAACCCCATAGCCAGGTTTTCACCCGTTTTCCGAATGACAGAATGGAGGGGGCAGTTCTGATCTCCAGTGGGAGAGAGTTCCAGAGTCGAGGGGCCACCACCGAGAAGGCCCTGTCCTTTGTCCCCACCAGATGCGCTTGAGAGGCCGGTGGGACCGAGAGCAGGGCCCCTCCAGACGATCTTAGCAATCTTGATGGTTCATAGGGGAGAATACGTTCGGACAGGTAAACTGGGCCGGAGTCATTTAGGGCTTTATAGGTTAACACCAGCACTTTGAATTGTGAAACTCTCTGTCCCTTCTGGCTGTGGCTGGTCATTTGTGTAGATGTTGAACATGGATGGAGAAAGCACGCTCCCCTGAGGCAGGCCGTTCTTCTGTTTCTGCCATCTGCTTCTCTGGCCCTGGAACTTAACAAAAAAGCTCCTGTTTTGTAGCAGGTTTCCTATGAGGCGGGTGAGGTGGTAGTCCTGAGGTGGTAGTAAGGGGGTAAGTTTTCTTTTCCCTAACTGTAGTTCCCTCTTCATTCCTCACATTCTTACACTATCCCTCCCTGAACCATGACTTAGCAAGTGTAAGAGACCAATGAGCTGATTTATAGATGTGGTGCTCATGAACTTCCTGGGAATAATTGCTTGTATAGGTTATACTAGGTACCCACTTTATATTGATTCAGCAAAGCAGTTCCTAAATTTTGCTTTGGCTTCTTCATGTTCCATATCTTGGAGTTATTTCTTAATCCTGCAGTATTTGTGTGCTAGTATAATGGAAATACTGCAGACAAAGAGACAGTTGTACAAGGATCATCCTTTGCGAGATATATACTATTGGGTGATCTATGAAAGAATATGCAATAGCTAGGATTCCTATTCAAATAGAGTAAATAGATTATGTTAAAACGGCCTTAAAAGGACAGCAGAGTTCACAGTAGAGATTTAATAAGGTGCTTCAGAGAGCTTTCTGGCTATTTGAAAGTCACTGATCAAGGGCTCACTTCTGGCTGAACTTCCTTGAATTGCCTTTGAATTCCTTCTTTCCATCATGTCTCCCTTGACTTATGTGTGGAGAGTGAGAGGGGATCGCTTGCCACAAAGAAATAATTTGGAAGAGACAGGCTGCCTCTTAAGCGAAGCTCTAAGTGATGAGGCAAAATGTGTTGGGATTAGAACTGGCACAAATTGCCTCTTCTTTCACTGTCAGAAGGTCTGGGAGAAACAAAACAGGCCTAGAAAATTAATAGTAAATTGGACTGGGATTTCGAAGGCCTGCTTCCAGATCAGTCCAGTGGATGACAAAGTCGATGCATAATTTTGTCTGTCTTGCTGGTAACCTTCTCCTCTGCTTCCAGTTCTTTTCCCCCTTTTGAATCATCTGCAAGTAAAACTTAACCAAGCAACAATTCCTTGTCCTTGGAGATCATTGAAATTAACACATGGTATGGCTTGTGGTTTGAGTTCAATTACTTTGGTGCCACTCACATCTCTTCGGCAGAGGCTAGTGCTCTTGCGATTTCCCATATTCCTCTTTAATAAGCTGTCAACCTTTGTTGTGTGACACTTTTCTCACTTGGAAGTTTTCCTGTAGATTCTGTTTTTTCAGCTTGTTAATTCTTGCATGTCCAAGAGGCAGGAGCCACTCAGGATGTATTTACATAAGTTTGGCAGGCTGGAAAAGATTACAGCTTAAGAAAGAACCCAAGGCTTCATTGTGTGTGTTGCCTTTCATTCAAACATCCAGTATTCATGTTTCATATTTTAAATTCAACTGCATTCTCAAAGGTGATGATAATTTGCATTATCAAAGTCCAGAAAGTACAACTCTGTTGTGCTATACAGTTGGCCTTCCACATTTATGGGTTTTACTTTTGTGGATTTGGTTATTCGCAAATTTGATTAAAATATTCTATGAAGGAATCTCTCGGTCCGCCAGTGCAATTTTATGCCCATCGCAAGTGCTGAACCTGACTCAGCACATAGAAGATGGCTTTGAAAGGCAGCAGATCACAGGAGCTGTCTTCATAGACCTGTCAGCAGCTTATGATACTGTGAACCACTGCCTCCTCCTGAGAAAAATGTATAATATCACAAAGGACTACCACCTCACCCGCCTCATAGGAAACCTGCTACAAAACAGGAGCTTTTTTGTTGAGTTCCAGGGCCAGAGAAGCAGATGGCGGAAACAGAAGAACGGCCTGCCTCAGGGAGCGTGCTTGCTCCATCCATGTTCAACATCTACACAAGTGACCA